AAGCGGAGTGTGGATAATTAGTCATATGGTCAGGGGACTGAAGTTTTACTGTTCCGTTTTCTTAAGCAGAGGTCTTTCTCTGGCAAAACGTCTCCTGTTTCGTAGGAGATTCCTCTGCTATCCTGTGTATGTAGTTCATGTTTGAGGAGGATCTGCTAGCTTTTTGTCAAAATATTGCTTACGTGTTCTCTGCAGGAAGAGATTGAAGCCAAGATTAAGGAGCTCCGAAAGAGTCTAACTTTCAAAGCTAATCCCATGCCGAGCTTTTACCAGGAAGCCCCACCCCCGAAAGTCGAGATCAAGAAGGTAGGTGAATTTTCCTTGGGTCCGCGAGTTGTTAGCTGGAACGCAAACTGAGAAGTGCATGTATGAGAGCTCCGTCGTGTATTACGTGTGATTGGAGTGTATCTCGCTCTGGTTCCGCTATCTGATGTTAGTCGAACGCATTCTCAGCTAACGCATCATGCTTCGATTGGTCTGCACCATTTTCAGATTCCAACGACACGTGCGAAGTCTCCTAAGTTGGGAACATCTCGGCGTAGCAGTGGTGTAGGGACTATGATGGAGGATGCCAGATCCTGTAGAACTAGTAGAACTGATCTTGAACACAAACTAAATGGCCTCAGTGATGATGGTCAAAATAAGGACATCAAGAAAGCCCTGAAAAAGCCGTCAGGACTCACCAAAGCTCTGAGCGACAAAACGATGAGATCTGCCAAGAGTAACGGAAGACTGGACAACTCCAAAGCTCAGGCAGCTGCTTCATCTGGGGCCGGTGAGACTGATGCCAAATCGAAGGAGAATAAAGTAACTGTATCAGACTCGGCTGGGGATAGTGATGAAGGCAAGACTAACAATGCCGAAGCTGCTCAGGACACCATCAAGGATGATGCAGCACCCGTTGGTGATTCTGTTGCCAGTGACGGCAGTAACGGACTAAATGAGAAAGATGGCAGCGGTGGAGCGAGCGAGAAGGCTAGCCGACCTTCCCAATCGACCTCGACCTCTGCAATGGAAGAAGGGAAAGACAAGATTGTGAAGACGACAAAGCAAAAATTGAAAGCCAGCACGCCCACACTTAGCAGTGCTGCCAAGCGTGAAACACCTATTAAGCATAGTAGCAAGAACAGTACCGAGATAGCTCACAGCGTTGCCGATGTGGCTGTTGCATCATAGGCCGAGGTAATTGCACCCTTGAGAGATAACCAGGCAGCCATGCGGACGTGTCTGGCACATCGTTCCATGTCGCCCTTGTGCACTGACAGCTTCTGGTGTTGCAATCTTTGCTTGCTCCTTTGCCAACAGGGTCGATCTAGCTTCACACCAGGCAGAAGTGCGTATCTGGTGAGCAAGGCTGCAACGTCATCAGAAGCAGCAGCTGTGTTAAAAGCTTCTACTGCGTTACTATGAGTTGTTTGTCTTTCCTGTTTGTTGGAGAAGGAAGTGTGGAAGAGAGAGTAGTGGTTTTTTGCAGCAGTGAGACCCATAGCGAGTAGAAGGGTCAGCAGCAGGTTGAATTTGCAGTCGTAACAAATATAATGTATACTTTCCAGGACTACCCAGTTTCTTGTCAAACCCAGCGTGAGAGAAGTAACGATGTCTTCAGGGCGACTCGTCTTTGGCAGCTTAGTAGCTTTTTTAACGGTCGTGTTGCCTCTCCTCACGATCAAGTTGACTAATCAAGCCCTTGACTCTTGGCCTACTGCCCAAGTTTCATGATGTGCGATTTTCCTGACATATGGCATTGCATGTGATGCTGTAAATAAATATATTTTCATGACAAGGCTCTATCCTCGGTGTAAGGGGCCCTGCATCCTTCTTCTCCACTCTGCTTCGACATTGCTTTGACAAAGCTTTCGAGACTCATCCTTCCGAGCGCTCTACTCCTTCAGGCGTCGTCGGTCAGGGCGGCGGCGTCGTCGTGTGTTAATCAGAAGCAGTGGCGGTTCGTGACGAAGGGTAGCCCCAGCATTTAGGAATGTAGAGTTAAGTTAGTGTGGAATCGCCGTCGTCCCGGACCTACCCACGAACCGTGCAGAGTCTGCAGAGTCTGCCTCGCCGAGTCGTGTGTGGCTTGACAAGAAGCTTAGCAAAGAAGGTAATTGAAATAGTTCTTCGCTCCTCCTCCGAGTGGCAGTTCATCTCCTGTACTGGCCGAGCCGAGAACGGGCCGGGCCAGCGGACTATAGTGTCAATTGTCCGACTAACCTCCACACCTCGTCACGAGATGGGAAAATAGTTCGGTAGATAGAGTGGGTGAACTCCAGGTTGTTTAGTAGCCTGGTGCCGATGTGCCAGTGGTACCGATGTAAGCGCGCAGGCGCTTGTAAAACGCGCGAGGCCTGCTTTGTAAGAAATCGTATCAATTGTGCACGATATTGTGCCCACGTGATCTGCTGACTGATGACTGCTGACTCCTGACTCCACTTCGGACGTCACTCTTGTCTCCACCTGAGTCCTGACTGACTGATCTCGGCGACCAACCCGATGCTTCTCCCATCATCCTCCCGTTGCACCCACATCCTGACAACGGCGCAATAATTCACACGGCCCCATGCCCGGTTGCACATTGCCGATCGCACCTTTCAACACGATGATGCTTGACCCTCACCCGCGCAAAACCCAGGCCCATTCGCAAACCTTCGAGTCTTTCAACAAAATCCTTGTGCGAGCGAGACAGATATTTACGGGATTGAAGTAGCCCAACGCACGTGTGTATAAGAACTTCGCCTCAAGGCACGGCAATGGATGCAACACCACAAAGCAAGTTCTCCTTACGCATAAACGGAGTGCGTTGTGAACTCTGCGGGAGGTCTAACACCGATCGTTCACCATGAGGAGCAAAGATGTTAACCTGACCACTGATCTCAATAATACAGACAGCCCTGCAGGTTATCTCGTAATCGCACTTTCTCGTCTTTAGCTCCAGTGGGGATTTGATATTGTACCCGTACACCGTACAATGGGATGCCATTCCAGCTGCAGGCGTTCTTATCTGCTGTTGACGTTCATTAATCGCGTTGTATGGACTCTAAATTCACCGTTTGCTTTGATGCTCCAATGTTGAGCCATTTACAAGAGTACACTGACAATAGCCAGGCAATTATCACTTATATGTGTTCCGAGTAACACATATTCTCTAAGGTATATAATATGCACATTTAGTTATATAATCTACCTTCACAGTGCACGTCGCACAAATACAGAAATCTGTATCAAAAATAAGTTGTCAGAAATTGTGTGATTTAACTTGCCAACAAATGTTCTAGATACAATAGGTTGTTTTTAATGTTCTTATGTTTTTCAAGGTGGCGGATAGTCACGCATGTAGGCTTTGAAGATATCCTCTTTGCCTTTGCTTTGGATAATAGACCTGCGGTGGTATGTTCTTGCTTTTAATACAACTCAAATTATCCAATTTTCGTTACACATGCAAAATATATTCGAAATTATCTCCATAGTAAACCTTCCAAATATGACGAGTATTTTGTATGTGTCAGAAAAACACACGCAAGGAGAATAATATTTCACAGTTAAACGCTAAAGATAGAAAGAATGTCAAAGATAGGTGCCGGAATTTTTAATTTATGTCCGATAATAGATGGACATTGTAGAAGGAGTCGAATATGACCCATATGATGATAGTATATTTCACAATTGACAATGTTGCCATGGATCTTTCTAGTTGTATGGGTCAAGGAGCGACAAAACTTAGCGCTAAATGTACAAGTGCTGAATCTTATACAGTCATTCCTTTGTCTATGCATAATTCGAATGACTGAACGCGAGTTGAACAAGTTTATTACTGAATGAAGGAAGACGTGAACAAATTTATTACATTATAGGTGACCGTGAACATTTGCATGTTTAGAATTTTGCATAACGATAATCCATATATAGTATCAGTAACGCATTGCAATGTGTTCACAGTAAAAGAACCAGTTTTACTTAATAAAGGATATGGTTCTTATGATTTGGTTTTTTCAGATTTTATTATTGGACTTTTGTATCTATGTGAAATATTCACTTGGAGCCTATGAAATCAATAGTACGGACTGCATAAGTAATTCCACATGTGCTACTTCGTTGGGAACATTACAAAAATGCAGTTTACGTGGTTTCTAAAAGGTTTTTGAATATTGCTCATGATATCGTCATATCATATGAAAGTTCTTTCCATCTCAAAGTTAACATGAATATGGTTTGTTCCCCTTGTTTCTTACATATATTAGTATTTCTTTCGCAGAAACTACTCGAGCTCCTTTCAGTTTAGCACAGGTGGAGGTAAGACTACTAACAGGTCCATGGGGCTTTTTGCATTACAGAGAATTTCGGGTTTTATGTGGAGAATCTGTAGGAAGCACCAATAACAATTTTTTTTGGCCATTAATCATCTCTTTTTAGAAGGGTCAAGATATAAGTTTCTAACTCTAATTAGTGTTTTTTTTAGACACTCATTCCTTAATTAGTCTATTCTACAGTAATTGAGTATATACATTAATCACGAGTCGTCTGTAGATACATATTATCTACAGACAACTCTTATGATAAGTGAATTCGTTTCAATACATCTACTGGATGTAGTAATTAAGACTTCAAGTCGAATTATTCAGGTGACGCCTAGACTACTGTAGCAAGAGGCCAACAAGTATTTAAAACTGACATGGAAAAGTACATGGAGGTGAAAGAGGGCACAACGCAAAGAAAAGTGAAAATGGAAACTCTAAGCAGGTTTCTTGGTGGTGAAAGGTTGTACAATCTATGAATATCAATCAACTAAGTGAACTTAACATTCGGTTTTAACTCATAAATCAACAACGTCATCTAGTTTTTCCCATTTTTTTTGTAATTTTACTTGGCCTTGTCACGGTTTTATATATATGTGTACTGCAACGCCTTGTAAACATTTTGAGTTGGGGATTGATTGCTCTTCAGAACGATAAGAAATCCAACAAAACACTGGGCGCGTCGAGGGACTAGTGTCGGACATTGGTGAGAGAGACCCATAGCCGGGACATGAACCCGGGTCGCTCGGGTGGGAGCCGAGTATCCTAACCAACTAGACTACAACGGACAAGGACACATATTACAATAATATCCATTTTCAAGCACAGGAGATATTTCGACTGCGAGCTGACCGGTGCAGCCGGTGGAGGCAGGCTTCATGAAGCGCAGAGGACATTCCTGGTGCCCGAGCGAAATCCGACGAATACATACGAAGAGCGCAGGAGCGGACAAAGCGTCACTTTTCTGGCCTGTCTGTGAACCGTGATCCGCAGCGCACGATGGCAGCAGCTTCACTTCGATGATCATTCCATCGCCTGGCCAGAATCATGTGGCTCTCCGTCGCGCGCTTGTGCTCTGTAAGTGGACACGTCTGCCAGTCTTGGACCCTTTTGTTTTCTCCGTTTCGAATTTCGCCCTCTATCATCGTTATCGGCACCGTCGCTTCTTTGTCAAGCCATTGCTCGTGTCAGTTTCCATTCCAGAAGCTGTCGGAGAAATTGCGTTGCACCGAAGTGATCTTCACGTCTCCCCCGCGTGTGTTGTTTTAGTGTTCGTCGAATCTTGTTCCTAATGTCTAGCGTTGTTGCTTGTGTGCGGAACCCCAACCCCATGCTCGCCTGCGATGCTGCTCATTTGTCACAGTCTGGCTCGAGAGTGACAGGTGAGGTCCACTGGTAAACGGCATGAATTCGATTGCGTTGGGATTCATTGAAGTGAGTTAATGTAACAGCTTCTTGAATTTGAGGAAATGCACTCATGAGCTGTGCTAGTTTGTGAGTTTTTGGCGTTGTTACAAAATTGGCCTTAGATGCAAGCTCCGTGGAGTTTGTTGCTGAGAAATTGTAAGCTTGTTTATTTGTTCTGGTTTGTTTTGGTTTGCTGGCGTGGCCTCGAGTTGGAACCGAAGTTTGTGGAGGGCATTACGTTAAAGTGTTGTAGCATTTTGTGTCCTAGGCAGAATGCCGAAGCAAAGAAATTCGAAATTTAACTATCCGATTTTGGGGCAGGTGTTAAGGCGATCGACCTTCCGCTTGCGAACAGTGGAACTTTACGCTTGGAATTTCTCTGTAGACAAAATCGTCTCTTAGGTTGTGAGTCAAGTAGATTATCCGCAGGCATTAATCGTGGTGCTAGAGTCATGGGTACGACTTCGTCTGCTTCACATGGTGGTCCAACCCCTGTGGCCCAGGAGGTTTCCAGCGGTGGTAAGTTTCAAAACTCGCAGTTGCCTGTGATGGTCCAATTTTCAACTGCTGATTCGGATCCTCGATAGCTATCACGACCTACGATCTTCCAAAAAACTCAACACTCGAAATTTGGGATCGAATATTGTGCTTGGATATAATGTCATTCATATATATATATATATATATATATATATGTAATATGAACTTTCCAAATGACTCCATATGTGCTGTGTATCCAAAGTAGCACATGTATCTGAATTGTTCACATTCTAAATCCTGCAGAACAAGTAGACTTCAAATCCATCAGCGACTCAGAATGGCAGAAGCGTCTGACGAGGGAACAGTTTAACGTTGCACGACAGAAAGGAACCGAGAGAGCATTCACAGGGTGGGTTATCAGATATTTTTCTCCTGTCTTCATCTCAGGGTCGCTTTTGCCTGCTTACCCCCAGCCAGTACGTCTCGTTTTCTCTACTTTTTTGTCTGGTGAATGTTCAGACCGCCTACTGCGAAGTGAGTATGTTGTGCAAATGATTCTAATTCGTTGATTATGTACAGGGATTACTGGAATACGAAGACCGCCGGAACATATCTGTGCATATGCTGCGAGACACCACTTTTCGAGTAAGTAAGCAAGCTCATGTTTACGATTAACTAATAGCTTAGTGCTTTCTGTGCACTTTTAGTCCGTTTACTGTCTTCTTGATGAAGGCTGCCAATTTTTGCAGTTCTTCTACCAAGTTTGATAGCGGCACAGGCTGGCCTTCATACTGGGAACCAATTGGAAATAATGTGAAATCAGAAACAGATCGGTCCATTCCATTTATGCCACGTACAGAGGTGTTGTGTGCCAAATGTGATGCACACCTTGGGCATGTATTTGATGATGGTCCCCGTCCTACCGGAAAACGTTACTGTATCAATAGGTATGAAAATCCTCCAACTAGTCATGATAGTTTTCCAGCTATTGTTCTTTACGTTATAGGGTAATCTTTTCCTGGTCATTAGCTTCTTTTCAGTCTGTTGTGTCCTTGCCATGCACAACACACTCAATTCGCTCGTTGATTTTTCGTTGTGTGCATCATCTCGTAGTTGAAACACGAACGTAAAGTTGCATACTTGGACCCACTTACTTACCCTTCTTCTGTGAGTTTGCAGTGCATCTCTCAAGCTGAAACCAGAACAAGAGTGAAGCCGGACGTCCACCCGTGAAGATAGTCCAGGCTGAACGTCCTCAGTTGAGAAATTTGTCCATGCCTCAGAGACGGGAGATGAAGACTATATTGAGTATATATTATACCTTCGAGTTTTTGAAATCCTTTAATGTTGTAAATTAAAGTATTACTTTCTTGCACACCTAATGTCTACACGATGATTGCAAGTTGTATCAAATGTAACTGGCTCATATTTCATGCTCCATCTCTACTGAAATAGTAGTACAGTTTCACAATATACGAAGGCACAGATTTGAAGACATCTTAGTATAGACTGGGTGACACACCAGGTCCATAATCAAAAGGACTGGTGGTTTGCATCCAGTTAAGATGGTTGATCAGTGAACGTGAAGTTTCTTTGTCCTCTTCGTTTTGAATCTGGAGGTGAAGCTTTTTAATAAGTTAAAAGTAAGACCCTTGAGTGAGCTTCGATCATCACAGTGAAGATTGCGTGGAAGCAGAAGTCTTGACTGGCATGTTTAGCCAAAGATTAGCACACAACGTTGATAGAGAAAAGATTGTCGTCACTCTTTCGGTTGCTTTCAATCATTTTCGAGTGTACTGAAGAATTTCCGTGGTGGGAAAGGTAGCCTCTTTTAAGATTCACTTCTTTGAACCACAAACTGCAGCACGTAGGTCATTGAATCTATGCAAAAACGATTTGACAATGTTCAGCAGGAACGTCTTCGATGCGTATTCTGTTCGGAGGGTGGGAAATAGGGATTGAGCAAGAATGACGTGTCATGAGACTCCGGTACAGTAGAAAAAGTAGGAAACGGAGTGGACCCCTACCTGTGAGCAAAAGTTAGCGTGGGCAAATTACCGTATCATCTCTAGATAAATTATGACTGTTCATCCGATCTTACGTCTTCAATTTACATTTGGTCGTTTTACTACAAGGTCGTGTGTACACACATTGTGGGTTCCTTAGACAGCATTAGGAGGCTTTTGATTACTTGACTACTAAGTTTCATCTTGTAAGCTCGAGCGACAAGGTGTGAAAGTGCAAGATTTGGTATCATTTGGACATTCCGTCTCATCTTCTGCTTTCATAGGGATGTATGATATCGATAGATGTCCAGAAGTGCCAGTAGGGTTGAGGATTTTATTGCACGTTGCCTTCGCCGAGGATGTTTTACATGTAGATGACCTTCCTCTACTAGGGGATGCGTAGATGGCGTTTGGTATATTATCATCTAGTGTTGCTCGTAGACCCACCTATCTTCTTCGGACGATTCTTCCTTCAGTTACATCTTCGCAGATGATTTTCTTATTGGAGTTATTGGTCCAAGAGCTCTGGCAGAAAGGATACGCGGCTTGGTTACACGATTTATTGAAGTGCGGCTTAAGCTTAGGCTTACCCTGGATAAGACCCGTAAACCCATTCAATCTCGCCCGAACACGCTACCCGCGCACTACGTGCCTATGGCTATATCATTTGACTGCCTTTGATAGGAGGATCATGGGCGTCTTTGGTGACATCATCAGACCAAGAACATTCGAGTGTGTGACTGGAGATTTGGCAAAGAGATAGACATCTTTGCCAACTTTGTGTGGAAAGGTAGACATTTTATCGATGGGGGATTACACCTGCGGCATTCTTGGCGAATTGGGCGCTCGTTGCATCTATGTTATCTTCTCGATTTGTGATCGGAGATAGATCTATTTTGGAGATATATACGAGGGACGTTGATACGAGATCATTTCCTTCACAGATATTATTACGACATATGAGACGCTTTACCACGGGAGGTACGACATGAGTTTCCATCTTCTTCCTCTTCTGACTTACCGATTGGACTAGGGGTGTATAGTCTATCTTGATGGACCGGCGAGAGGGAGGCTCTACATTCACTCTTAGTGGATCCGGCCATTCCTCGTACTACTAGAGCTCGTTTACGCTCTTGCTCGGACAAGAGTGCAGGTTCATGGATCTTGGCTCGACCATGCATCAAAGCTTTCCGACTCACACCAGCTACTTTCTCCATAGCGATGAGGTTCTGTCTTGGCTTGATCCATCCATCTACATCTTCATTACTCACATGTAAGTGTGGTATCACTTTAGATACAACATGTGTTCATATGACACGTTGTCCATTCAGAGTGCAGAGGATAGCTACCCATGATGCCATTAGGGATGTGGTGTTTGCTATGGCACGAGAGTGTGGATACATCACATGGAGAGAGCGTTGGTATGTCTTGCATTCGACTAGGGTTAGGGTAGACTTGTACTTGGTTTGGGAGCATCAGGTCACTATGGCTGATGTGGTGGTTACCGATCCTACTAGAGACACAGTTTCAAAGCAGATGATCATCCATTCTCCAGGATGGGCGGCGAGTGGAGCGGCAGTAGCCAAGGTCTCCAAGCATAGAGGTATATAGAGAAGTCACCCCTTTGTTCCTCTAGTTTTGGAGTTATATGGAGCTATGGACACTGACTTCGACATGTTCGTGAGGGAGTGCGCGAGAGCCAATCATACTAGGCGACATGGGGTATCACTGTCTTCAACTTAATATATAGTCTATTTTAGGCAACGTGTTTCCATTGCTCTACAGAAAGCACTAGCTGGTGCAATTCATAGGAGAGCAATCACGTTAGGTGATGCTTCTTCGGATGCCCTTGTTGTTTGTACACCTTTTGATTTTGATAGTTCAGATATCTTAGGT